AGAGAGAGAGAGAGAGAGAGAGAGAGAGAGAGAGAGAGAGAGAGAGAGAGAGAGAGAGAGAGAGAGAGAGGCCGCCATAGATGCGTGTCCGCGCACACCGGCCGAGAAGATGCAAGGTACTGTTAGGGGCATATGGAAAATATTTCTGCTGGTATTCAACTGCTATCCGGTAGGGGCATATTGGGAATTTGGGATGGGTACCGGTAGGGGCAAATTGAACATATTTCAGGCCCAAGCGACACCAGGGGGTTTTCGGAAACTTCTACAACTGTCAGAGGGGCAAATCAGGGCAAGTCAGCCGTATGAGGGGTATTTCGCAAACAAATGCAGCTTTCAGGGGCATACCAGAAAGTTTCCCAAATTGTTTTTATTTTATTTTATTTTAAAAATTTCAACGAGCTGTGGCCTAACGGCAGTCGGACGCACTGGTACGGCTTATCTGACTGGTAGAAAGTTTCCAAGAATATTCCAGCCGACGTGGATTACTGTAACTGTGGTTCCCGTCGCACAGCGAGTGCAAATTGAATGTATCTGGCCGGAACAAAAGCCAGATTCGTAAAAAAGTCCGAGTGACTCTCGAGTGTAAGAACAAAAACGTAGAGAGGAGTTTTGAGAGGATGAGATAGATGAGCACTAGCAAGAAAAATGAGAGAAGAATACTAGAAAAAAAACAAAGAAAAATGAGAGAAGAATACTAGAAAAAAAACAAAAAAAACAACCCCCAACAGATCGAGGGCCTCGCCACACCACTCTCGAAAAGTGAAAAGGACAAATATGTGGCGGGCGCATCTGGCCATTTCTAGAGGCAAGTTCATTCCCATGTAGCACTTTCGAGAGTGGTGTGGCGAGGCCCAGAGGCCGCGCGTTCGTGGCCGGCGGGCGAGCCGACGAAATGAACCTGAGGGCATACTCACACTACGACTTTTTTTTACGTATTTTTGGATGGAATTGCGTCCAGATACATCCAGGAATGACCGTGAATGCGGTCAGATACATTTTAGATTTTAGATACGGCTAGTGTGAGTACGCCCTGACGGTGGGAGAATTGCGGGACAGGGCGACAGCTGGGCAACGGGACAGAGTACGAGTGTGCGACAACCGTTAGACCCCTGTGCGACATGCAAGCCTGTGTGTGTTGGCGCCCCAGCGATGAACAGGGGCCTCGCTGCGCTACTCTCGACATGCACAAAAAACAAAAAAAATCATGGCCGTGTATCTTTCCATATTCTTGCGGAAGATTCACTCTCGTTTTGCGCATTTTGAGAGTAGTGTAGCGAGGCCCCAGAGCCGCACGGGCTGTGAGCTGTTGAGGAGCCGAGAAGCCAAATGATGATTACCCCCCTCTTTCTGGAGGAAGGGGACACGTCACATGCAATCAGTAGGTGGAAGGATCGAGTCCCTCCGATGACATAGCTCTCTCTATCTAGGTTAGTTCTGCGGAACACACGCCCTGCTCTTTCTTCCTTTTTTTTTTTTTTGTTGTTTCTTACCACACACGCTCTGCTTTCCCTCTTGCTTGGCCGCTTTTCTTCCTCTCTTCTCCTCTCTCTCTCTCTCTCTCTCTCTCTCCTTCTTCCCCTCCGATTTCTCTCTGTAGTTTGTTTCTTTTCCCTGGCCTCCTGCCCCATTCCTTCCTCTTTCTCCTGCCTCTTTGCTCTCTCTCTCTCTCTCTCTCTCTCTCTCTCTCTCTCTCTCTCTCTCTCTCTGGTCCTCTATGGAGGCTGCAGGTCTAACTTTTGACCCGCTTCCTTGACCCCAGGCACGCTGACCATTGGGCTGATCCTCTCTAGCGTCTCCAGGACCGACTCTTGACCCCCGAACTTCGGGTTGGCCGAAAGCTACAACCCTAAGACTTTGCTGTGATGGCTGCAGGACCAACTTTTGACCCGTTTCCTTGACCCCAGGCTTGCTGACCTGTGGCCTGACATAGAGACACGTACATTCTTTGATTTTTTATTTTCTTTTTCCGTTTGCAACGACCGTTTCGCACTTCCCCCGCCATCCATCCTACCTTCCCATCCCGTGGGACGCGGGTCAGAGAGAGAGAGAGAGAGAGAGAGACGCGATGACGGGCGGGCTGCTTGCATGACCATTGGGGGCTTGTAGGCAAGGGGGTGAAGCGACGACATGAAAGGGAGGTCGAGAGAGAGAGAGAGAGAGAGAGAGAGAGAGAGAGAGAGAGAGAGAGAGAGAGAGAGAGAG